TTTATATTATTTAAATATGATTGTATGGTTGATTGATTAGAATGCATGCTAGTTGATTAATCATTATAATCTATTACTACCTAAGTATTCAAGTCTGAAGTTGTTTGTCTAAACTTGCTTATGGTAATAGCTAGAGGTTAATGATTATAAATAGGTTTTCATTTAATCTCTTAGAAAACATAAAACTAGAATAAATTCTTTTATATTCTAGGAAAGTTGTTTAACTCCACCTATATTTCTATCATTTAATATTGTTGTTAGATTAAATCTAGCTAGCATCTACTAGGTTGTTCAATAGTTAGGAATTGATCAAATAGCATCTATTTGATTAAAGAATCATTACGGAAAGATTAAGGATAACATATATGTTGTTTTCTCGACAATGGATATTCATAATAAAAATGAATTAATGTATGAATCGATGATCCATGATTGAATCAAAAGTGTAGATCCAACTTTAACCAAGGCTTTCATTATTATTGTCACCTTTTTATTTATTTTTGTTTACCTTTACTAATCTCAACCAACCAAAACCCTACCATTTCCTTTACATTACTTTGAAATAATCAAAAGATATAGAGGACATTGATTGAATCATTTCTCTGTGGGATCAACATTGACTTATCCTAACTATAGTTTTGTGATTAGGTTCAATGAGGAAAAGAAAACAATTAACTTTATTGGCGGAGCGACATGCCATCAAATTGACTTCTACTGTTATTAAGGTTGAAGATATGAGTCATCTCAAGATAGAAATACCTTTAATTTTATACAAACTTGAGTGAATATTTCCATCGAGTTTCTTCGACTGAATAAAAATCTTCCAATCTATTTGGCACATGAAGCAAAAATAGCAAGACTAATATAATATCGATAAATTTATCCATTTGAAAGGTAAATATATTGATTTTGAATCCTTGATTAATTTTTTTTTTAATATTTGTTAACTAACATAGGTACATAATGCGAGTATCTTTAGAAACTAAAAAACAATATAAAGAATAAAGCAAGATTTGATGAATCAATATGCAAGGCATATTTTGTTGAAGAAGCATCAACATTCTATTCATACTACTTCGACCCTCATGTGCATATTAGGCATTGAAAAGTGCCACATAACTTTGAGTGTGCTCGAGAATCAAACAATAATATTGAAGGGATACTTGCTATATTCAAACTAAAAGGTTGATCTCTTGGTTGAGTAAAATCACATATGTCAATAGATGAAGAAAAACTAACATCACATACTTACATTTTATTGAAATGTGATAAAGTGACACCTTACATTAAGTGCTAAAATTAGCAAAATTTTCAATACTAAACTTAATTAATTATCAATTATATATAATAAAGACATTAATAATCTTATAATTGTTTTTCCTTCACCGGTTATTTGATCCATTTATCCTATTAACACAAATGCATTAAGTGTGTTATGCTACATATCCTACATCAAAGCACATCAAGTGTAATTGGTTGGTCTGTATGTAAGGTTAAATTGAAGGCGATAGTGGAAGTGTTAGAATCGTTTGTTATGATCTAAACAATTCCATCCAAACAACTATCGAATTGTTTCAAACAAAGTATGGCGACCCAACATAATGACATTCAAGTTGATGACAATAATGGTCGATCGTTGATCGATCCAACTAGATCTTTAATAGATTTAGAAGGGATGAAATTAATGAAGAGAATAATATTAAATTTAAAATAGATTTTAAATAAGACTTAGATGAAAATCATAACAATGATGATCGGGATAGTGATTAGTAATAAGATTTGTTTATCCCCACGAGTTTAATTCAAATTGTTAAGGTATGTGTGTGTGTATGTGTGCATATTTTAAATTAATTACAAAATTATTTATTAATCATAAAATAAATATATTTTAAATTTTTTATGATAATATAGATATGTTATAGTTGTTGTGTTTTATTAACTAATTAATGTGATAATGTGTTAGTTATACCTCGTGGTAGAGGACGTTTTCGTATGTAGTGGCCTATATCATATGGTGAGTTCGTAGTTCGGACATTGATGATGGTAGTGACCATGGATGTGGACATAGTCCTACTTTCATTCCGGGTCGAATGCCGCCTCCATCGGTATGTCTTCATACCACCCTCTCATAGCCTCCGTGTCAAACCCATCATCGTTTGACATGTCTCGGCCTAAGCTCCATCGGTATGAACCTCGACATCCCAACACTTCGAACCTTCATCGTCATTAGGGCGTTGCCCTAACTAGATGACCAACGGAGTTCTTGCACATGATTCATCGTCATACGTCCTTTTTGGTTTGCCTTCGCACTTACCGGTTTTACTTATGATCTTCACATTCGATTATTCTCGTTGATGGCAAGATGTAATATGCATATTTTTTAAAATATTTTTTAGTATATTATTATATTTATGCATTTATTTAATTATTAATTATCTTGTTTGACAACTTGAATCCATCTAATATGTGCTTTCATTGGATCTATAAGATATTTCATGAGCATCTTCACCTATCCAAAATGACATGAAAGTTACCATGTCTACTCACAAGGAGCACACAATACGCATGGTAAACCTATTTTATATTATATATATATAATTATTGTAACATCAATATACATTTAAGTATATTTGTTTTAGCATAAGGAGTTGAATTGTGAACCCGATACTCACGAGGTGTTCTTGAAGACTCATAGAAAGAAGGATGATGATATTAATGTATTCATCGATAAGCGAGCAAAAATCTCAAAGTAAGCAATTTATAAGCTTATTTCATACGTATGCTACTTTTATATAATTTCTTGAGATTACTATTTAATGTTAAAATTTATGCAATTATGTAGGACACCATCGATAAAATATTTGAAGAGGAGATTGCTAGCCGATGGACCAAGGGTATTTCATCGCCCAACACCGGCATGAATAAGATATTTAAGAGGGCTATTGGAAAAGGAGACAATAAGAGGAAGAGAATGTATGGACTCGGATCATAAGCCTCTCATTATTACTCTAATGTCGAGTTCATTTTCTAGTTCGACCTCATTACGAATCCATATCGATGAGTAGCTTCGAAGGAAAATAGAGACCAAAAATGCTAGACATGAAGAACAAATCAAGGACCTTAAGGGTACTATTATATCTCTCATAAAAAGTCAAAAATGGTTGGAGTAGCTTAATCAAAAGCGAGTATGCGATGATGCGATAGCTGCTACTCGAATATGCAAAAAAGTAATTGATAAACCAATCCTCCGATCGACCATCGAGCGCCAAATGAAAATGCTGATTTGTCATGACATGTATCCACTTCATCAAAATATTTTTTTTATCACTCTATGTTTTTATTTGCAAAAATATTAGTACACCTTAATATAATTTGGTGTTTGAATATATATATTTGATTGGATTGGAATTCATATATTATAAAGGCTTCGTTTTATATTCAATTGGATTGAATTTTATATTTCTTGTTAGCGATGTGAACGAAGAAAAAATTAACTAAAAATGTCATAAAAATAATAATAATATAAAATGATTTAGCGACGGTTTAAAATCGTCGCTAAACATGTCTCTAAATTTGGCCATGATTAGTGATCTTTTAGAAAAGCATGTTGCTAAACGATCACAAATTTAATGATGGATTACCAATATAATATAAAAACTATCACCAAATTAGCAATCTTTTCCAATGATTTAGCGACTATTTTTTTAATGTATTAGCGATGGATTAACAAAAATTGTTGCTAATTAATTAGCAAGAAGGTTTTTTGTGACGGTTTTTAACCGTTGCTAATTATAATTAGCGATGATTTTTTTTTATTTAGCAACGGTTTAAATCGTCGCTAAATGTTTATATATATATATATATATATATAGTGTAAGAAACTTTAAAAAAGTCTATTGAAAAACTTAATAGATTTTATTTATTTTTTCTATATAATTTATTGGGTTCGAACTTTAAATTATATAACACTATTCTTGAAGACAAGGACAATAAGATGGTTGTTAGAAGTTGAGAGATGAAGCACTACGAACGGTCTGTTTTGCTTATTAAGCTAATGATCGTATTTAAATGATGAGTTTCATTCAGTGTTTAAGTTACGTGTTTTTTTTTAGTTGTTATCTAAACTATATTTATTTATTGATTATTATTATAATAATAATATTATTATTATTATCTGTGTGTGTACCCACATTTTGGCAAATCAAGAGAGGAGGTTGTTATTTTTGTTTTCTAGAAGCTCCATTCCAGGATTTAAAGAGAAGGAATGTACAGAGGCATCACTGAAAGCAAGGAAAAAGATGAATGAATTCTCTCTCTTTTTTTTTCCTGCATATTCTTTTTCTCGTATAAAACACATCACGGGATTCTTTGATATCTGTTACTTGGATTTTGTATACACAACATAATATTAAACAAATTATTCTCTGATAAAATTTAATAAAACATAATTGTTTCAAAGTATCAAATGCGGATTTGAAGCTTAAGTACTGACATAGACACCAACACTCAAAATAATATTTAAAATCGATGTTAATAATGAGATGTTAGGTCAACAAGTAAATAAAAGAGAAAATTCTCTCCAAAACCAAGCTTAAAATTTGTAAATAATAGTTATTAAATATTTATAAATTACAAATATATATCTATATGTGTTTTTTCTCTAATTTAACTATAAAATAAATAAATAAAATGAACTAAAATTATTAATTATTCTCTATGACTCGAAAAAATTATCTAATTTTCTATTTATATACATCTAAAAATATTTATCTAATAAAAATTATCTAATTTTTTATTTTATACTGTCTCTCTCCACAGTACACCCTTCCTCTTCGTCTATATATGCTTTTTATATTCATTAAACTCCTCTCTTTTACCACCACAAACATAATAACCATACAAGCCAACCATCAAAGATCCAATCATAACTTACATCAATCAATTGCCTACTAGCAACACCCAAATCATACTCCAAGCATCAATTATATGAACGCCCAATCATGCCACCATCTCCTCTGCCACAACCAATCACCTTCACCGTAAAACCCAGCAACCACCATTCGTAGTTATTCATTGTTAGAGGTGAGTTATGTGATGGAAAACTAGGAGGGATTAGAAAGAGAAGGAAGCAAATTTAGAGAAGAGAATAGCTTTGGTGGCGTGACGAGAGAGAAAAAATCTGAGAAAGTTGTGACGAGAGCCAGGTAGTGAGAGAGTAGTCAAATTCAATGAAAATTATAGCAATCAAATATTTAAAGCTTAAAGCATAAAGATGAAATTAGTAGCCTTCGATGTCGCTAATGTGCCTCGAAACCTACAGTTAATATATATAAACAAATTCTTTGTGCAACTAAAAATAAATGGAATTTCATTTTCAGAAATCAGTCCAAAATCTTTTGATGAAATTTAAATAAAAAGGAAATACCAAACGTTAGGAGCAGAAACTGCCAAACTTATAAATGGGCAATTAAAAAGCAAAAATATAAGTATGAGATTAAACAAATTCCATAATCCCATTGCGTTATGGTCACGAATCTCATGATCCAATGTTTCTAAACGGCATCATCTCGTTGGAGAAAAAAACTGGTTTACTCTCACTCGTGAGCTTAAAAGGAGAAACATTGGTGTTCAATAAATTCCATCTCTCTAAGTCGTGCGAGGCACGACAAAGAGAGCTTTGGTGGTGGGGGCCATGACACAGAAGTAGGGGCCCCCTTTTCACCAACTGTTTTGTTTGTAAGGCCAAATCCAAGAACAAGATCCACAGACACAATGTTTTATTTTTGCTCTAATATCCTCGACATCCAATTCTTTCACCTATCGATTTTTAGTCTGTGGATACAGATTGATGGCTTAAAACACAATGTTGAAATCAAGATTGCATTTGTTACAACAAAAATAAAGTAACAAAACAAAAAAGCTTCAAAATTAAACTTCTAAAAAAAAAAACAAAATACTAGTTTTTGGACTCAAGTCGGCTTTTGGTTACTGAACCCTTAATTTGAAAATCAAATTTGAAGACAAAAAAAAAAAGGGAACTTATTAATTTTTATTTTTAAAAACACACACACACTTCCGGCTGTCAATTTTTTTCAAAACCAAATAAAATGATTTTATTAGGGTATTCGAAAATCAATACAATGATTGTTGGTTTTGCTTTCTTCCAATAAAAAAAAAATCATCAAAAAGCTTACAGCCAAGTGGTAATGATTTCTTACAATAAGAAAATAAGAATTTAAGTCCTAATATACTACTTTTATCAGAAGCCTTGGATGTTTGAGTTAATAATAATAATAATAATAAAATCAAATTAATTAAGTTTGTTTGTTTGTTTCAAAATATCTAAACACAGAAACAAAGCAACTGTGAATATAGTTGTTGGTTATGCTTTTTTTGAATCATAGAATTTTTTTAAAAAAAAATCAAGTTCTTTTGTTTATGTTTCAAAAATATATATAACACTCAAAAACCACAAATAATAACATAATACGAAAACCACAAATGATAACAAACGACCCCTAGGTTTAATGCCACGATTTAGCTACTATCACCCTTATATGCAAAAACTAGATTCCAATTTCCCCCTCCCTCCCTCTCGAGCTAAATCTTCCACAATCTCAGGCATATGTATTTGGTTGTGCTCCTGTTATTACATTTCAAACAGGGAAGTAATGAAGCGCCAAAATAAAGCCTTGACGAAACATCATGCCTAACTCAGCTCACAAACCTAATTTGAGAATAATTTTGCAAGTTTTGACGATTGCTGTGAAGTAAGGCAGAACCAGTGTAACGAACTCCAAAATCTTAATTCCAATCCATCCATTGCTTGAACGTTGGAACCTTTTATTTGGCCAAAATTTGTTTAGCCATGTTATATGGCGAAAAAAAAAAAAAAACAGCTTCCTGAAAACTTAGTGGGTTTCTGTAGTATTTGCGCTAATCATAGCTGAATCACCAGTTGTAATACATGTGAAAGAGAACAAAATGTCAATCATGTGCGCTTCATTCCAAAATCCGAGCGGTGGACGTCCTTTAAATGACGAAGGCAGGTTTGGATGGGAGGAAAACGAAGAATAGAGAATGTCAAGAGTTGGCATTTCCCTGTTGTTGGAATTGGAAGAAAGCATATCACAAAACGAATATATGAGGGGACGGGTTCATCGCATGGTTATCTTCGTGCCACGCAGGGTGCAATCAAACCAACCAAATAAGGTTCCAACAAAATCCATTTTATTCAGTGCATGTCATGTCAACCCATTCACTTCAAATTTATCAAAATTCCAGTGCAAGAATAAGAACCAGGACAAACCATTCTCGATTCAACTTTCACAAATAAATTACCAATAGCAATTAAGCTAACTATATCTACATCTCAATAACACCAATTGCAAAGATCAAGAATGAGCTTAGAGAAATTTGCGGGTGTTTAGCATATTCTGTCAGCCAATAGCAGTAGAATTCAAAACAAACAACTCTCTCCTAATCATCAAAACCAACACATTTCAATCCCTTTCTACAGTCATGGAGACAGCTGATTATCCATTACCTAAGCTAAGTTCGCTCCTAATAAATGGTAAGCCACTAAAACTAAAAAGGAAATAGAACAGGCAAGTCTAAGTGTTGATCATTGAGAACTTCAAAAAATAAAAAACAAGCACTCATTGTTTCAACAGATGCGTTTTTTATTATATTAAAGGCGTTCTCACATTAATACCCAACCTTTACACATTCCTGAGATGGACAGATTACAGAGCCAAAAAATTCTAATTGTTAAGTGTCCTATTCTTAATTTTAATTCGAAATTTGGGAGCAGAAGAAGTACCTTCTGATGGTTCAGGCTTAGTTTCAATATTTGTGGTCACTGCTTTGGATCCACTGGGTTCGTTTGGTTTCAATAGCACTGTTGCCAACTTAACAGTATGCTTCTCATTCTTACCTGGCAACTCTACTGATGTAGCCTTTGCCCCATCACTCAGCAGCTTTGCCATCTCCTTTTCTTTCCTTTTCTTCTCTTTCTTCAACCGTTTCCTCTCCAAATATTCAGGATAATCATGGTGCCCCTTATGATCTTCCTGCTTTCGCTTCTTTTCTTTACCCTTCTTCTTCTTCTTCTCCTTTTCTTTCCCTCGAAAAGAAGATGCCACGATACCTGATGAACCACCATCAAGATCAATTCTTCCAACTGAGAGGGTTTGTAGACTAGCAAACCTTTGTGCATCAGTGTCTACATGGTTATCTTGCATGACGCTAGGTGATGATGGATCATCAGGCTGAGGGTGCATAGAAACTTTACTTGATTCAGCAGTGCACTGGAGTTCCTTTCCAAAATTGTCACCATCACTTGCTATTTTTGCACTGCCAATGCTAGCACTCATCCGAGAACCATGGTCAAGACATGAGTTGACTTCCTCGAGATTTTGGTAGCTAATACTCACAGCTTCAGTTGAAATCCTCTGGGGTGCATCCACAGAAACAGAGCTGCTGGCCCTGCGATCAGTTTCATGACGCCCACCTTGAGATCTCTCAACATTTTGATTATCGGTCTCCTCAGCCCTACTGGAAGCAGCAGAATGTTTGACTCTGATCTTAACAACTGGCAGCCTGCGCTCATGGCTATTGGAGATGGTATCTGCTTCCTTTGAAGCTTCAGGCACAGCTGGTTCTTTTGAAGCTTCTGGAATTTCCAGATCTCTCTTCTGTTCATGATTGTTGGAAATCGTATCTGGATTGTTGGGACCTTCTGGAATGGCCACTTCCATCTTATGTTGATCTCTGTCTGAAATTATATCTGCTTCCTTTATAGCCTCTGGAAAGGCAAAATTATCTTGTGCAAGATTTGGAATCTCCATATGAGGCTCCAGGGGCTTTGTTTCTGCCACAAGACCCGCAAAAATGTTCCCCTTTGTTTCTGCCACAAGACCTGCAAAAATGTTCCTTGGATCACTGCAAGTTTCTGAGTCGCCAATACATAATGTTCTATCCCTGGGAACTCCATAAAGTGTCAGGGCCCTGAAAAGGAACAATTAACGATTCTATCTCAAAATTGTTTCCAACATAAATGCACCCAACACATGCAAACAAATGAATTCTAACAATCAAACCAATAAAAGCTCCACTAACAAATTCCATTTGAGCAAAATGGAATCTTGATTACATATATAGTAAGAACTTGAGCTATCATGAATGACAACCACAATCTGGTTGAAGAATTTACATTAGCATCCCCAGTCAGTTACCCCTTAATTTTAGAATTCATAGTGTTAATTAAAATGTGGAAAAACTAGCAGACTATATTTATCGCACAAACAAGTCATTGAGAGAACTAACTCTGTGGTTCACTATTTATGGGTTCTCAGTAGATGTACCCTAACTACAGACTCTATGAGTAAGAATAAGAAGAAAGCAATAGTGCCACATGTGCCTAGCTGACCGTGATGATTTAGTTGGGTTGGAACCTGGCTTGCCACAATGATGGATCTTTCCAAGCCTAATAATATGAAGCTAGGCTAAGCTGGATAACCCAACCTGTAATAACCTCTACGACTGAGAAACCATAACTTAGAAAGGAAGAAATCAGTACCCACCTTCCTGCAAGGATTTGTAAAATGCAGAACAAGTGATGCCGAAGAATAACATTATTGAATCCAATATGGCCATCGAGTAGACGAATCAAAGCCAAGAGAGTTGTACTCTTAATATCATCTTTAGAATCAGATCCATCTTGTATCTGGCATAACCGCATAGCATGTGCACCAAGTTTTGCCTGCCCTGCAACCAAGTAAGGATGACCCCTTATAAAAGCAAATAAAGCACAAGGTCATCATGAGGAAAAGTACAACAAGCAAAAGAACCAAAAAACAAAAAGTTCTTTTGCCATAAGAAATAATGCTGAACCTCTTAATGATGTTTCTTCCTCCAAATTTGTGATAAACAATAACAATGCTGCATCCATGCCTTTGCAGTGGAATTCCAGATCAAGAAGTGCTCTTGTAGCTTCAATTCGAATTTGCCATATTGTCTTGAAATCCCGAAAAGGTTTGATAAGTTCAAAGACATGATTCTGCAACAAGTAATGAATGGTATATATGAATATGAAAAAAACATTTAGAAGGCAATCCATGATTCATTTGAATGAGTAGAAAACTTACAAGATGAATGGATCCTGAGAGCTTCAGTGCAATTTGTGTCAATGTTCGGATACAGCTGATTGTCAAGATCCCGTTATAACTCGGCATCAGCCTAACAAAAACCACGTTCAGAAACATTCAATCACTTACAAGTATTTTCCAATAAACTACCTATCAGAAAAGACATCAATAAAATCATTGTATCCAACAAATTAGAAGCCAATGCACCTGTCAAATTGCAAAAGACGGTCAATTCGCTTGAGAAGAGAGGACAAAAAGAGAACAGTCTGCCAGGGGTTAGAGAAACAACAAGATTTAAGCCTCGGAATTGTATATGAAGGCAGAATGCAGAACTTTAGAACAAATAAGTATCAGAAATGTTAAAAATATCTCTACAGAGACATCAAACCCAACTTCAATGCCAGATCTGCTTGTGTATTGAACTTCCAAACTTAGGAAAACCAAACTGTTATTTTAAAGATCCAGGTAGAAAGACAAAAAAGAAATGCAAAAATTGTTGTCATCTGACATAATGCATCAAATGAATGCATAAATGGTAGTCTCAGTCATTCATTTTTACTGCAGTTGCAATGGATATGCAGCATAGATTTTTGGCAATGGTGGTATGGTCTCTGGTGTTTGCTCATATGGAAGCAGAATTTATGTTGACATTTTATGTGAAATCTGGGAGGACTGTAAGGTTTTGTGGACATACAGTGAGTGCAAATTTTTTTGATATTTGGTTGAAAAGAAATGCAAGAGTTTTTACAAATCAATATACTCCTAGAAATTTTATTGGGGAGGATATGCACTTTAGGTGCTTTAGAGGAGCACCCTAGGCTGATACTCAGCAGGAATGGGGAGCCCTATGTGGTTTCTGTTTTGTTGCTTTCTTTCTATGGAGGATAACTTATTCTCCATTTTGACTTTGTACTCTTAACACATTTTCAATAATGTAATAAATTATTTCATCTTAAAATGTGGAGGCGTGGAGAAACATAACATAGCTGCTTGTGAGGAGTTCCTACAAGTCCATGACCAAGAATTCCAATCTCGTTCTTCCTTAATTTTTCTCCTCCTGAGAACTTGATACATTTGTGACTAAAATATAGCAAGAGATCCCAACGAGAAAGATGAAGAGTTATGCCCAACACACTCAAACAAACAAAACTAAATGCATTGAGGGTTTAAAATAACAGGAAATTAAAAATCAGATAAAGCCAAAAAGTAGCACCGGAAATGATGTATTGTCAAGAATCCACAAATTATAGCACGTGAGAAAATGATGTTTAAAAACCTGTTGCCCAAATTCAAGTTCACCAACTGACTGGACCAGTGCAGCTAACCAGAACACATCAGAGTAAGGATTTCCATTGTTATCATTATACTGCCACAACAACAGAACCAAATCAAAACTGGTTGAACCACTGAGCATATCCAGCAAATAAAGACAAGAAACAAGATAAGAACTAAAAAAAGGGCACCCAAGACCCCAGAAAGGGAAACTACTATGCATGGATTAAGCATGGACTGTCCAAGAAAAAACCACATGCTACATGCTTAAATCTAGAGAAATTTGGTGGCGAGATGCAACAAATCAATGCAAACAACTACATGACATTGCGTGGGCCATTTTGCACGCATGAACTTTAAATAATGATAAAGGAAGAGAAGGCCCTAAGTTCAGGCAATCATCCACTATATACTGACCAAAGAATGGGCTATAAGAACTTCCTGGATTGGCAACTGGCATTGTTCCCCTCCACATTTCCCTCCCCTTACAATCCTTGCTATGGTATGATTCAATTATAAGAATGCCAAGGTCTAACCAATGTCTCTACTAGGGCATTTTTTGTTGTTTTTTTCCCCTACCTGCTATGTTATTTCCATTTCCATTGCCAAATCAAATTTTTTATCTGGCCAGACTATCCTTTCCTTGACTTAGATGAAAGAACCCCCAGCAGAGGACAAGCAAGAAAACCAATCCAGCACAATTTTATTGATACACCACTACAAATGTCATCCAGCAACTCTCACTAGACAATTCACACATTCGGGAGAATCAGGACCAAACAAATGATAGCCTGTTGACCTCTTGCCCAAGTTTTCATTTGCAATCCATAGCAAGAATCTGCTTCACTCTGTCTAATAATCTTTGCAGAAACAAACCAAAATTCTCAAGAGAGACTCTTTGGAGAAACAAGGTTATTCTAAGTTTGCAATGGTAATCACGGTAGCACTTAACAAAATTACTGCATCCCCCCCCCCCCCAACAGTTACCATGCTCCATCAATCAAGGAAGCCAAATATTTTTAAACTCTCTCTCACATAGCAAACAACAGAGGGTAAAAACAACAGAAGTAAATAGTAACGGTTAAAACAGGATTTAAATTAATGCCAAGGAAAACCCTACCTTCAGAAGTTGCAAAATAAATTCAACAGCTTCTCTTGGGCTTTTCTTATCTGCAGCCCTGACCTTAGCAACAGCATGTGGAATGGCCTGAATACAAAAAAATCAAATGGGAGCTATAAGTCTGTATTTCATTATCAAGTGAGAGAGCAACTTTCCTTTTCTGGGAATAAAGGAAATGCTATTGAATGAACAAATAGAATTGAAGTTTGTTTCTTAGATAACCCAAATAATAGGAAGAAAAAAAAACCATGCAAGAAAAGAAAAAGAACTCATCAATCAATCATTAGAAAATAAAAATAAAAAGAACACAGAAGTTAAGTTTGGAGAATAACAAGTCATCCTCAACAACAGAACATCAAAATAATAATGCACTGCAATCCCTCTTGAATAACATTCCCATAGCGTACAACAATATTTAGAGGTCCTTGATGCAGAACAGCTTCACTGGTCCTACTTCTTGACTGCACTAGTCATCATTTAAAAGAACATACTGAAGTGACTAAGATGTTCATGCAATAGTGCTAACTTCTGCTCTGCCTTAGTGGATGCTTGCCTCAAAAGAGGAAAAAGAAAATTCAAATATAGACATCTTAAACTGATGCTGCCAACAAAGAGCATTTTTTCTGTTTGATCTTCCAAGTCAGGGTCAATTCTATAATTTTAATATCTTCAGGGTTCGTCTTGTAATTGTGTATTCAGGGTATTTCTGTAGTCTTAAAACAATTGACTGACCAGCTAGCACTACTTAAGGTGCTCCTAGGTGAGCATCTCTAGGGAAGCTCCCTAGTCAGGATATATTGGATTATAGGTTATGACTCATATTTTGATATATGAAGGGAGTCAACTAGTGAGGATTGCAGCCAACTTGATGATGAGAGAAGCATCTTCTCTTAGGTGCAATGGTTTAGAATTCCTAGGAATGATTTCTAGGAGCCCTGCTGCGATGCTAGGTCTTTGCTACTTTTACTTAGTTCTTGTTTTTGTTTACTTCTAGAAATATAATTTAGCCTAACTGCCAAACCTATAAACTATTCCCAAGCTTCAAAATCACCAAGTCAACTATAACTTGTAAACCTTTAGTTTTTTAGGTGCAGTATTTACAGATCCTGCATCACACATATGCACATCAAATCTAACACAAACTTAATACATATCCTACCTCATTGCATTACCTCAAGAACAAAGTACTCAGGAAAATCGTGAAAGTCATTCGGCCTGGAAAGGCATGAGACAAAATCAGTTAAGATGGTGTTATTCCACCATGCTTGCCAAAAGTCAGACCACAGGAGTTAAGAATCTCACTTGGGGAGTCCAATTGTTGCATCAAACCTTCGACTTTTGTAAAATTTCACCAAATGGAGTAAGCCAGCCCAATCATTTTCCTGTCAAAAATAAAGAACAATCATTCAACCACCTTAAAACAACCATGCAAAATATTAGCCATTTTTATGATCACTAAGTTCAAGTTCAGAAGGCATATCAAAATGGATCTTTACAAGAAACATAAACAAGTTGCCACTAGAAGCTGTTCCTAATTCTGGGATTTGAATCTAGTATGATAAATAAAATGTGGTTGAATTTAAGAACAGTATCAAACATCAAACTGGGAAAAGAAACACACCCTCTATGCAAATAAGCTTGGAAGATGTTCCATTAAAGATAGAAAGAATAGTTCTATCAATGTTCCTAATATATATAAAATAAGTGGGGCAAGTGGCTATAGTACCTCAGAAGCAGTATTAGCCAATGCAAATGCAGTCTCAATTCGAACTCTCCAGAAGGCCTTGTCAGCACAAAACAGCATTGAACTAATCATATTTCATTCAACACATGAATCAAAATCAAGCATGTTCTGAAAGAGAACCACCTTAGTGTCGCTGAGGAAATTATTCATAGCATTTGTGACAGAAAAGGAAAGCTGTGGTAAAGCTTTTAATGCTGCAATTGCTTGCGCCTGTGCAACAACATCTTCATCCTTCTCTAATTGATTGATCTGATTTACATTACCAACTTTTACAATGTTATTCACCAATTGATTAACAAAACAGCTACTAGCAGAGAATCCTATGGAGCATCAAGAAATGCAACGGAAGCAAGTATAAACGCCCAAAACAAATAAATAGTGATGCAAAAGTAACTTGTATAAATGACTTCGTGCTTAAGGTAATCATCCTGTTACCTACAAAACTAAATTTTACACATTACTATGTGCAGATAAAACAGAAATAGAGTTCCTCACATGTTCATAATCATCTATCGTGTGGTAAAGTATCAACACTTGTCGCCACATTTATTACTCAATTGCAAAAGGATGCAACCTCTACTATAAATGAATGTTGATGAGTGTGGCTATATGATTGACAAGGGACACTATAGCGTGAGAGAGTTTAGATTTGTGGTTGCATCCTTTATATGGCACATAGCCCAAGAAAGTTTAAGTCTGTGAGTAGATAGATTTAGCATACTGGTAATTTATTAGACTTTTAGAACAATTTTATTATATGCTCTTTTAATAAAGCTTACAGTATTTATTTTATAAAGCAATTATCTTTTCAAGATGGAATAATGTCTTAATTTTTAGATGCAAATTTTAGATTATGTCTTAAGAGAATGAGTTCACTTATTTTATGAAGATTTAGCAAACAATTTCTAAATTCTAAAAATGTTTTTCAAATAGTCGAATAATATTAAAAACAAAAACAAATCCAAATGTAATTAAAAAATAACATTATTTATAGTGTTAACACAAGTTTTTAAAATATAATAAGAAACTTACTAGTAGACTAAACATGAGCTTTTTTCAGTGATGTTAAATATAATTGAAAATATGATTGAAAAAAGACTTATTAATATTGCTGAAATATTTGATGTATAGGAGGACTAAGTTAATAACTCCTTTTTGAAAATATATTTTTAAAAATAAGTATTTTTAGTGAAACATTGCATGCAGCCATGATTTGGATACCATAAGGATACTCCTTTTTAAAGAAGTATTATGAGGACAAAAACTTCTTAAATTAGTTACTTTGATGCTATCAAATAGATTTCTATTTTCTTTTAAAAACAATATTTTATAAACCATTGGACTTTAGAATCCCTCATGAGAGTGTTTTTTTTTTCCAAAGACAAATTTTTTTTTCAAAAAAAAAAGAAAGAAAGAAAGAAAGAAAGAACTTCGATATTTAAGCAAATTTCATACTTAGACGGTCACCTATGTTGTATGATTTGGTAATATTTTACAGATACAACTGATTCTAATTGATAGTTTTAGGATTATAACTTCTGGTTTTGTAAATTAGTAATATGTGCTTTGTCAAGCAAAATTCAATATAAATATCTCAAATTATGAATGTACAAATTTTTCTTTCTTTCCTTAATATTATATCATAAATTAGTAGTCATTTAATGCATGATAATTGCCGAACATTATCCTTTACAACATTTATTTTATATACCGAACAATTTTTTTGCCTATTAAACTATATCTGCATGATTTATATACCGAACAATCTCTTTTGCCTATGATTTAAGGAATAGAAATTTACTCAATAAAAGCAAAAAAGAAAAAAAAAAAACATAAGATTTTGGTGACCCGAAGCAACTTTAGGGTCTGTAACTAGTAGGTTATTATATTTGAAGCAATTTCAATCCTTGTTCCACAAATTAAATATCCACATAGCACTATTAGCAGTGAACAATATTTAAAGCTTCAATTAAGTTGGCGATACAAGATGGTCAGCCCTTGAACTTTTTGAAAAGCAGTTGGCAAATAGAGAAAACCTAAAGATTAAGATAGCGATTTTAAGCTCACACTGCCAATGAAACTCTAACAAGGTCTGCACATGTCAGATATCAACCAACCAGGAAAATTCATATGATGATGACTTAATTGTAGCTAAATTGTTGTTATAGCAAAATGAAATTCATTTGCTTAAATCTTTCAACTCAAATTGACCACAATCGGTTACCTATAATTATAATATGCAGATCCAGGCGAGATTTCTACTAAAAGAGTCAGAATATCTTACCCACATCTGTATAGGCTGATTAAAATGAATTTCAGCAAGATATTCCATTTCTGGGTCTGCCCTAATCCATGATAATGGGGATTCCAAACTGAAAGGAGAAGAAATGAACACAGTTATAGATACATGAGCTGTGTCCATCAAGAAGGATGTCACACAACCCACGAAAGTAACAGTATACCTGGAGCGCATATCTGAAGCAGGTACATCACCATTTTCATCCAAGCCATCAGGTTTTGAACTCTTTCTGGGCTTTTGGAATCGTCTGGCTGCAAGCTTTGAATGGCACTGTATTTCCAATAGCTGCCACATTTCTCCAGCCAAAGGTAGAACTGGATGGTCATACATGCCATCAAGTTCATAAACTCTGATACTCATCATCCCTGGCCATCCAATATCACCCTCCCGGTTTTCAGAATCAGGATTAAGGAAAGATGCATTTGCATCAGGTGCAGCTGTACATTCCCGAAGCACCGCTAATTCAACCATATTTTTCCTTTTGTTATACGAGAACCCCATCCTTTGAAAAAACAAGTCCAAAAAAAGAGGCGCATTTAAGTAAACAAAATAGTAATACACTAGACATGCCAATAGAAATGGTCTTTGGAATGGAACAATTTACGAACCAACCCATACAATTCAGAACATTTTGCCCATAGTGTACTGTACAATTGGATCAAATAACCAAATCAGACATTGACCAGGCAATGCAGGCAGGAAATGAAAATCCAAAAGTGAATTCATCCCAATGATAGGAACAGATAACAAGGCAAACAAGCACGAGTTTCTGAAACAGCCATTCCAGGTCATCACAAGTAATAATGAAGCTAAACTAGAGAGAGAGAGCATATTGCATGAAGGAAACAGAAACCCACTGCTTGAGAGAACTTGATGACATTCAGTTCAAGGGAAAAAGAAGATGAATGTTGGAGACAAAAACATGTCGTTGACGGTGGAGGAAGGCTTATTTTGACAACTTAGAGATTAGCTTCTGGATACATCATGAGTTAATGTATCAATGAGCAATGTCTTGAGTCATTAAGTCTTCAGAGAGTTTTATAAACCAAGAAATTGTAAAGGAAGGGATACATGTTTTGATCATATTTTCTTCAGTTTACACATGTAGTATATCATTTATCATTTCTAATTTGTTTTCCAATGGTCTCCCAATCTTACAATTCACAATGTGAAACAAATCATGGTTCTACAAATGAGCTTTCCAATTCATGATTTGAATCTTGATTTGACAACAGACATGCAATATGTAGCTCATAAAACCATATACCTTAGCACTGGACATCCACACGAGCAGACCCACCGCGGGAAAAATTCTTTCACAAATGGGCGCTCAAGATTTCCAACCTTAGTAGCGAAGTGTCGGAACTGCATTTCACAATTAATGAAATTAAAATAGAAAGAGCAATAAGGTTGCAAAAGTCTGCAAAATTCACAAGAGTAACATACAAAATATAAATACAAATGAAGGATGACAAGGAGGTAAGATAAACTTAAGTGTGCCCAGAAGAAAAGGAGCTCACTACAAATTACTTTTCTCATTGGTTTACGTGACTTTGTACTCGATATTTCTTCATTCCAAGGCAAAAAATGCACCAACGACCAATGTAAGATCAATTTTCAAAAATTCAAACCTGTTTACGCTACACAAATTTTTAGATGATAACCCTGAAAAAAAAAAAAAAAAAACGAAGTCTCAAAATCTGTAGCTTACTGTGAACCTAACCTACAATCCTTCCTTTCTTCTCTTAATAAATTTCTTAGCTTTACCGTTAAAAGAAGTATTACTTGTAAAAAGATAAGAGGAGCAAGCCTACTCATCCAGAAACTACAATCAAATACATCTTTCTAGTCAACAAGAACAATTGTTCTATATTCAATCAAATGCTTTTTAGGGAAAGCATATGGAAGGTATATGCATTTAAACCACCTAAAAAGTGGCCTTTTCAGTTGGACTTCAGCATTAGGTGAACTAATAACCAAAGATAATTTGATAAAATGAGGGTAATAATTGAGAAGTGTTGTTGTTTGTCTTAAAACAATTGGATGACAGTCAATCACTCGCTACTTCATTGTGCAGTTGCTTTTAAAAACTGTCGTTTGGTTTTCTACTCGGCATCAATTGGATTATACTCAGGCTGGCTCAAATGCTCTTGCGCTGGTAAGGAATGTTTGATAAGCAAAGAGATGTGCCACATGAAAAACTATTCTCCTGTATTGCATATGGACCATTTGGTTGGAGGCAAATGAAAGTATTTCTAAAGGGTTCAAATATTCATATCCAAGGATTGGAAAAACAATTTGCACATCATTAATGGAGTGGCTTCTACAATACGTCGATTCTTATCCTCAAAATTTTTATAGATAGCCTGAATTTTTAAAGCCAAATTCCATATTTTCCGGGAGGCATCTATTGTGTACTCCAGTATACTCATGGCACATTAATGAGCTCAGTTTAGCAAATCTTTTGGTATTAAGAAGAAAAAGGAGAGGGAGCACTGAACTAGCAAGAATTTAGCTTTTGAATCTATCATCATTTAAAGAAAAAGTTTGAACGCATGCATTGTGCCCTGCAGTTGTAGTAATTACTCAAATATAAAATAAATCCACAAAATGGAAAATTTGGAATAGAATAAGAGCCACAGGTCATAAGGCAGAAGGCCATGTCTATTGATAATGATTTAAACATTATAAGGCAGAACATGATCACCTCCTTTGTACTAAGTGATCTGACAGGGATTGTATCTCGAGCCCGGGAAATAACTTTCTGCAAAATCTGCATTTCAAAATAAACAAAAATATGCTATCAAATAATAATAATAATAATAATAATAATAATAATATATGAATTATAAAAGCTATCTGTAAAAAAATTAATTCACACTCCATAAATAACCAATGATACATTTTCATATGAACGAATAAGAGAAAAAAGAAATCTCAACAAAAATTGATATCAATGGAAACACAAAGCATCACTTCAAGTTCAAGCCGTCCATCTATAAACAATAAAAGCCACATCATATGTCACCAAGCGTTCATCCATCAACCTAAAGTGCAAGCAGCTAGATCTTTACCTTGCGGAAAAACTCTGGACCCATTTGCTTTTCCAACATTTGCAGTATAGCCACCTATTGGAAACCAACCAGTCAGCCTTAAGGAAATGCATATTAAAGTTCTATATTTAACAAAATATGGAAACCAACTTACAGACTTCCAAGACCTAATTTTCCCATAAAGACCAATGCTATGAGTTCCATACAATTCCTTGCAAGAAGCAGAAGAGCTCAAAGCTGTCGCACCACTATCATCTGCCTTGCAAACAGCACAGTTAGCCTGCACATTCAAATATAGCGTTCACTTGCATCTTTAAAATAAGCATCAACAATTAACATTTGCAGTTTATATCATCAGGAGAAGACAGGCTGAAATTAAGATGAAAGAGAAGAATTTAAATGAAAAGGAAAACAACGCAAGTTCTAAAGTGTGAGAGAAGTGAAGCAAAAGAACATGCCGTCAAGAGACAAGTCTTCCAACAGTCTCATTCTAGATCAATTCACAATCAAGATATACAAATCATGAAGGAATGAGCGAATTCTTCTACCTCAGTTGTGTGGGTAATTTTGATATTTATGGAATATGGAAGGCTGAGATAGAATTTTTATTTAATAAAGATTTAAAATTTGAAAACACCAAAAGGGTAAACAAAGACATGCATGAGGCACACAAGACAGTAACCAAACAAGAAAAAAGATCTGAAGGAGGAATGAGCAAATTCTTCTACCTCAGTTGTGAGGATATTTTGATATTTACGGAGTATGGAAGGCTGAGATTGAATTTTTAGTTATTAAAGATTTAAAAATTGAAAACACCAAAAGGGACACAACCCTCATGCATGAGGCATATAAGAGGGTGCCCAATCAAGAAAACAAACCAATATCTCTAGCTGGAGGAGGAATGAACTGTGCAAAAGACCCTCATGCACTCGCATAAATTTTATCCAGGACATAAACGCTGTGATACTTCTGGACTGGTTTACTGATCAAATTGATCACCATGATCCTTATGCATAAAACATGGAGTGTTCTTTTCCTCCTTTCCTAGATATGAGACATTTTTAGCCAAAACCCACATCTTCAAATCATCTGCAGTGGAAGTCTAGTTCAAGAAAGCATGCCAAATGAAAAGGATCACCTTAGATGAGGGCTTCAACTTTCATGTTCCTTTTTGGGAAATGTCTTGCATTTATCATCTGTAGGCTCCATATATAAAGCCTTCACAGAAAAGGTCCCATTTTTCAGGCCCCTAAAGCGCTAATCACTACAATTTCTCCTCCTATTACCCAGATCACTTCTTTTTACAAGTAGGAAAAAATATCAGGAAGAAACTAAAGATGATATCACAAGGACACCATACACTGAATGTCAGCTGAACTAAACCTTTTTAAAGGCCCTAAAAGGTTTATTATAGAATGAAGCAAGAGAACAATTGTGCCACTTAATAGTTGCTTCAAAAGGAAGTGATTCTTAAAGATTCTAGATCCTCTTCCATCAAATACTCCACATCACCGCAAACATACCATGCTCACATAAAGCTAAAACCAGTAGTTTCAGAAGTAGCACTGCCACTCAAGCTGTGAGTTGATTGGAACATTATATAAATAACCTAAGAAAAAGAAACAAGCAGCATCTGCATCCTCCTATTGAAACTTTGTTAAGAGCAAAGCAAGACACATCACCTCTCCATTAGCTAGCTTGAGATAACCACCAGCCAACATCTTGTTAGCATCGCACCCTAAGATATGGAAAAGCCTCTCTAGACCATTATACATATTGTGATTAAGGAATTTGTGGTTTTGATAAATGACAATACCCAACCTCAAAGAATCCATGCTCACTCATGACACATCATATCATACAAGGTTTGCCCAGTCCACACAAGCAATACACAAATGAGCTTCAAGAGAAAGAAAACAAAAACCTCCAAGCATTCATGCCAGCTAAACCAATATCAAGTCAAGTACACTAAAGAGATACCTCAGCATATGAAAGAAAAACAGTAAACAAGATAGCACAAGAACCGTATAATTAAAACAGTGATGGTAAATCAACATATAGGACTCTAGTCTCTATGGCAGGGATCAATATTGGATAAGCAATTAGCCTATCCACTAAAATGGGATGCTTGAAATGTTCTAACCTTGTATCTGCGATAGCGTGCTTCATTATTTCCTAAAAACTTCTTTATAAACAAATCCGTCAAAAAGCCGGCAAGCCCATCCAGAAGCCATTCTGACAATAAGCACCAAGCAAGTGTGAGTATCTCAGGATCATAATTGGTATTTTTCAAAATTCATACAAATTGTTTTAATTTCAACCAAGAAGTACAAGGTACCATGTTACACAAGACTTACCATCATTAGGTTCCTCAGGTGTGACATATACTCCAAACCACTGTTTTGCGAGTGCAAAAGCTAGTTTGATGCTCGTTTCTATGGCCTGCCACAAGAAAAAAATATTCACCAACAAGCAAAGTTTGAGAATGCAACAATCTACAATGAAATTGGCATGCAAGAGAGCCATTGACAAGAGACGGGAAATATTGCTCCAATTTACATTTTATGCATACAACTTTGCCTGCATAGAAGTGCACTTTTAAAATTATTAATTTCTTACCTAAGTATTAAAAATTTATTACAAAAAAAAAAAAAAAGGGAGATTTGGGGGTGAAGCTTACAACACTAAAATTCAAGTTCACATTCTCTATTCTAAATTTTCTTCCACCTTCATGCAAACATTGCAATCTTTTCTTCAAGATCTGAAATAATATGTAATTCATGTTAAATTAGTCTCACAATCTGATGGGGCACGTTGGCAGCAGCCCCCAGATGTCTTTAGAAGACATTCTAAGAATAACTCCAACGCTCAAGCACTGATTTGGCACGTGACTAGTGATGGAAAACTTATTTAGGAACTTGAGTAGTTGATAAGGATATTTTGATAATTTTCAGATCTGCTAGAAAATCCGGAAATTACAATATTTTATTTTCTCAGTCCTGAAGTAGTCAGGTTTTCCTATTCTAAATAGAAATAGTTATGAGGTTTAGGAATCCTTGTCCTGGTAGGATTTGGAATTCTACAACTCTATAAATATGTGTGTCTTGAGAACCATAAGTGACTCCTCGAAATCTACCCACGTAAAAACAGCCTCCAAAAGTCAGATCCAGAACAGCCCATGTTTCCCTGCATTGTTTGGTATTAGAACTTCAAGATCCTCAAAGCTTTGTATTGTGTTCTTCAATAATGGTGAATATCAAAGAAGTCAATGCAAAATTTAAGGCCTTTTGACTAGAAGTTGAAGCAAGCAAGAAATCTATAGATGAAATGTTGGATACATTGCAATCCAGCATTGATGAATTGCGAGTAGCAATTCTAAATCAAGGTAGGCAGCTTGTTGACGCATTTACTGCTAACCCTCTTCCACAAAATCAAGGTGTTGTGGCTGCCCAGAATAATCATGCGGTCGCATTGCCCATCCAAAAAAAGGAGCAAATCGACCCATAAGACAATGGTTATATTACAAAGAAAGAAAGGGTTGATGTTCCCGATTTCGAAGGAAAGGTAGGTAGATCCTACACTATTCAATAGTTGGACTAGGTCCATGGAAACCTTCTTCAATTGGTATGACATATCGGATAAATGAAAAGTAAGTTTTGCAAAGATTAACTTACCGGATTAGCCAAGATTTCGTGGTTTCGTTTTGAACATGACATAGGTTGACTGGGACATGCGCACCAATTGGCTTGAGATAAAAGCCAAGCTTATGAAAAAGTACATGCCATCCAATTTTGTTCAAAAAATATGTGACGCAGCTTATGTTTTATGGCAAGGCATCCTAATTGTTAATGAATCCATGGAGGTATTTGAAGAGCTGAAGATCAAAGGTCAAATTGTGGAAGATCCCAAACCAATACTTGCTCAATTCAAGGCCGGTTTCAGGGCTAATATCAAGAGGGAATTGCTTGGGAAGGACCTTTAGATGTAGAGCTTGCATGTCATATAGCAAACAATGCAGAAGAGTTCCTAGAGCACACAATTACAAGGAAAGTTGGGTTTTGAGCCAGGAGACAGCAATACGAAGGTACAATGACTTAAATAAAGGAGTAATGACAGCCCCTGCAACCCTTTAATTGTTCTTATGCCTCCAAATCATCTTCTAATGTAACCTACATCAAAGGTAGAGATAACAAAGGCCATGTCTGTTTTAAATCGGGGAACAAGGACACATGGGTTACCAATGTCCTAAGAAGAATAGTTTGCATGTTGGGATTGAACTAGGAGAGGAGGAAACACAAGAAGAATCTGACTTTGCAGAAAATTCACTTGATTTTGGGGCTTATGAAGCTCATGATCATAGATGCTTCTCTTTTATCTATTGTTAGGGGCATTCTTGCAGCCCCTAAGCTGTCCTGCATCACAATCTCATATATATGCAGATTATAGTGTTCCCAATACAAGTGAACAAAATTGGAAGAAGACTGTAACATTCCTTATAGGTATTAACAGAATTATTTTACAAAGATGCATTAACAAAAGCACTGGTCATATATTCCTTCCTTTTAATTTGGGTTAATGAGTGATAAATAAACAGGATCACGAAATCATAAAATGCTATGAAACCAAGAAAGACCATAAAAGGGACAGCACATGTACTACGAAGATGTTCAACAGAATTTCACAATTTTCGGACACATTAACATAAAATACATTATTCCTTGCAGAACATTTTTACCATCCTGTAATTAAGCACAAAGCTGAAAATCAGCAAACATGGAGTAACTCATAGGTTTTCTTTTAGGTGAAAAGTTTTTTAACATAGAAGAAGAGGTTATTATTGTGTTTGTGTGCAGGGGTGAGTGACTGTGAAGAGTTACATTAGGAAAAAAAATCCTCCACAATATGAAAACATCATCAAAAGGGAAGTCTGGGCAACAGGGCTTTTTCAGTCCCGCTAAAATGCTTATTCAAAAGCCCTGAGACTAACTCCATTAAAAGGTAAAACAAACCATTCTATCAACCTTTTGCATGGCAATAAAAATGACATGGACAACAGAAATAGAAAACCCAGTTATCAATAATATTGGCAGTGAGCAAGCCAGTTCAATCAAGTAAAGGTCCCCCAAGAAATGAATGCGAATGAGAAACATGTAGATGAATTTCCCTGGGCTCTCACAAGAATGACAGCATGTCTAACCTAGATATCCAATCATTGGTTTAAATGCCACACTTGATGCAAATGACCTTGTGCCATAAAGCATCGGTTGCTGGGGGAAAACACATAGCCAGTACCAATAAGTGCAATATTCTTGTAAACTGACCACATATCTTACTCCTCCATTCCACATCAACTTCCAAATCAAATTCGCTACCACAAATGGATTCTTAAATAGGGATACAATGCTGGACTCACAAGCCTAAATAAGTCCCACTACCTTCTTCTTTTTTTCTGATAGTCAGATTGTCATTTTTAAAGAACTAGAAAAACGAAAAAAGTCTTACCAATTCATACGCGCTAGAAAGTGCAGTATCATGTTAAAAAAATGCAGAAATAATTCAATATTGGGATGGCAGAATAAAGATCATGGGAAAACGTGAATTTTGCATAGGCAAGTAAGAATTAGTTCTCGTGGTCATTAATACCCCTTCCTGACCTCATCATTATGATCAGCATAATACATGTTTTATATTTCAAACAAGCTCCCAAGTTTAAAAGAGAAAAGAACACTTTTAGCAGTATCTAAACAAGTATTACACAGAAAATTTGTGTAATAAACCATCAACTATGGAAATTTAGTGAGTGAGCAAACCTGATCAATAACCGTATCATCATATAAAACTTCAGAACTAAAGACACCCATTGAAGCTCCCAGACTTTTTGAGGATACTGTCATCTCAGGAGCTAAGAAAACTTGCGTATATGACCCAAATGGAAATTTTGCATCAAGGTATTCTTCATAATGGCTGTTGAAAGTATATTGCAGTTAGTACAATGCAAGTAAATGTTTAAAAGATCTGTTTCAGTTATAAAAAATATTTGAAAACAAGAATTAGATGCTCAAGATGACAAACTTGAATGCATTATGAAAAAATTCCACGGTATTCTGGAGCTTCGGCAAATTAGCTGGCAAGCACACGTGTGATATGAGACCAACATGAGGATCAGGAAGTATTTCAAATGGTGCAACCACCAAAGATATCCATTGAGCAGTCACGGGAACATCTAATCTGTAGACGTATGTTTTGTGAGGAGGATCATCCTTGCTCAGAACCTGCAATGTGTTAATAATGAAACATGGAAAGTTAAAATCAATAAAAACTAATAGCACAATAGATAGACTTGACAGCCACATCTTTGCTCACAAAGTCCATGAGCATGATACTCATTATATCATTAGGCACTCCAAATGCATTACTCCCTCGCATAAAAGTGGGACCAACAATGATAACTACCCATTGATCCCATTTTTTGTGAGTGAACAGTACACTGGAAGTACCTAAATACTATAACTTCGAAAAGGTTAAAAGTTAAAATTGTTAATAATATGCATCTGGATAAAGTGGCAATAATCATCAATGTACATTCCAAACTCCAAAAAGAGTGATAAAGAGTAAAATCTCAGACAAATAAATTAAGTTTTCAACTAAGATTACAACAAAGAAAAAGGATGGATGATCTACAATTGTTGGCAATTTAAATTAAACAATTTTACTCACTGTCAAAAGAAAAGAAATGCTGCAAAAGGCTAAGACGGTGCACTAAAGGCTGGGTAAATTTTGGTGCCGAATTTTTAGGGCAACCATAGGAAGAGTTTTAACTGTTATCTAACATTCCTTCCAAACAATTTTACAATAATTTAATCGAACTCAAAATAAGGAGAATCAATATGCTTCGTCGTCATAGTTTAATAAATTAATAACCTCCTTGATGCTTTGATGCCCATTTCAGAAATTATAATTTTGCCATAGCTTTCATACTGTCCACATGCATGCAAGCATGCAACAGAACATCTTGCCATGCATCTCAGACTAAAAATCGTCACATACTTACCATGCATCTTACTATTCCTGCCTTTCTTTCTCATCTAAGTTAGTTAATATCCTTTCCTCTTCTATAAAAATTGTTGCCTTTTTCCCACATATCCAAATAGGCTTACCTAGAATAAAATTTGGAGATGGTAACATAAATAAAAAAAATATAATCCTTAGCAGTCATTTCGACATCCGTTCCACATAAGTTCATATTTTTTAAGAATAAGGCATTTATCTCAATAAACTTCACTTCCAGCAGTCATTCCCACTTTCAATATAACTTCATATCCTTTAAGACTACAGCATTTATCTCGAATTTAACTTTGAGAGAAGATCCCTACTTTCATACCATATGACTTACTGTCTTTTAAGACAAATGCATATATCAAATTCTCAATATACTCAACCAGAAAACATCCTCAGTAGTACAGAAATGACAGTAATTTGTTAATGTTAATGGGTTGAAAAATGTCAACAAGGCACCATTTCAACATGTAATTTTTTTTTTTTCTTGAAAGAAAACAAAATGTGATAGAGAAAATAGACTTTAGTAATCTGATTGGTATACTGAATTTTCAAGAACTATCTCCACAATTCATTTCAAATAACCAGTTCGATCTTCAATAAACTGGTTGCATTCAATAAGCATGTGTATCTTTAACACAGCAAATGCAGGAACATTAATTTGCCTTCTCCGAGACTTAAGACACATTCATCTACAATACACTTAATTCAGTTCAGGTATTTAAATTTAAACTATTGGAACTCCAAGTTACGGTCATTTTCAGCTTTCAATTCCCCCAATCTTCTGCTCTCAAGAGTTAAAGTTCCTTGCTTGTGAGAGGACATAGAAAACATTAGAATAGAAGATCATGCAACTTGACTCCATTGACAAATAACAATTTCCAATGTCAATATGAACAAGTCCTAGCATAATGCGTGTGCATTGCACCCACATATCACATATACATTCATACATGTGTGTCCGAGCATGCACTTGTTCATTATGATGAATAATTTGAAGAAAAAAGAGCACATAGCATTGGCCTAACCTAAATGTTACATAAAATTGGTTGTGGTATCAAGCAGAAGAGTGAATCAATTACTACACGTCAAACCTTTCTTTTTGACAATGATAATTAATTTAAAAAAGAAAGCTATGGGCCTATTGGGTGAATATTGGTCACAGAAATTGGTTAAATGCACTTCATCACAAGGTAGTTTCTCCAGAAGCAGCTTTTAGGTGCTTGCATAAGATGAAACACTCTTCTTAGGAAAGAAACACCCTCATTAGCAACCATATTGTTATCAGGTCATCAACCACAAGACAGTAAGTGATCACCATGCAATAACACCTATCAAGGACCATGTAAAGGTTAAATAGGCAACAACTCATTTGCTACATCTTTCATCTTTTCAAGCTAATAGGTAAATAGAAGTCAAATAAAGAAGGTGAAGGAAGACAAAAGAGAAAAGTCACAAGTCTTTTTGAGATTTTCATATAGTTCAAGAAGAGAGGGAAGCAATCTACAATTTGCAAAAATTACCTTCCAATTGGCTATTAGCTAAGCTTTCAGGATATATAGGGGTTCATATAAAACCTTAGCTATGGAGTTTATAGTCCATGTTAGAAATCTTTGGCAACAAACTTAATTATTTAAAGACTATCAAAAAATCGGCTGTCCTTAGCAAGGCAATACTAACCAACCTCTCAAGTTAAATCTCAACTAAACAAACCCTCAACCCCAAGAATGCGTGCGGTGAGCGTGAATTGAACATGCAACTTTCAGATATTAAGTCTGCTGCTCTCCCAATTGAGCTATCCCCGGAAATAATGCACCAGCAGGGAATCAAACCGGTTCCTAACACGGATGGTATCCCGTGAGTTGGAAGAATAACAACTAATGCAATTCCTATGTGAAACTAGAAACAAGATTTTGCTAGAGTTATGCTCACTGGTTAGCAATGTCAACAAAATATGAAGGTTTGATTCTTTATCTCCAAGTGTCCAAAAGGGGAAGGCTAGAGTTAAAAATCGATAGATTGGGAGCTCAAACACTCTAACTGAGCACCCTTACTTGGGCACCCTAAGTAATCGGTCAAAAAAAAAATCTTAGGGAATGCCCTTCAATCAATACAATTTAACAGGACAACCTGGTTCTGAGCTCAAAGATTATTGCGAACTCATGTCCTTCCACACCTTCAAGTCTATTTGTGATGCATTCAAAAATACTATATGCAATTGTTTTTCCCATTTCAAATTAAGGATTTTTCAATGACTCATTGTTGTGCCATAAACCCATCTTGATTCATTTACTATTTGGTCATTGAATAGCAGCATTCTTTTAACGCTCGATGTTGATTGCAATTTATTATAAGTATCAGAGAATTTTTAAGAATTTAAAGTTCTGTTCCTTCTTCTTTTTGGGTTGCCACAAAAAGCTGAATTAGTTATGAATATGAATATAGTTCAGTAAAAGAACACGTGACTCAATGAAGTACTATGCAAAATCATTAGAACTGAGATCAACCCACCATATTCTAAATCTGAAATTACAAGAGCAATTGAAACCAATGGTCATTCAATCAACTGAACAGTGACATGGAGCAAGAAATTTAATTTCCAAGATTATCAGAAAGTATAGGTTTTGAGACAATATTAACAGCTCTAATTGTCCAAACACCCAAAGCGATATAGCGATCTTACGTATCTCACCTGATATAATAAGCTCCCGGAACTGACAGCAACAAGATTGTGGGCAACTGTAAACTCTAGATCATAACTGCAGAAGCAGCCAAATAAATTAGTAGCAAGACCTTTAAATTGCTAAATTTAAAGAACTCCAAATAAGAATGTAAAGAATCAAACAGTTTATACCAGCAACGCTGAAATCCTTCGTCCATACAAGGGAACCAGCAGCGTGCACGTCTTATTTGGTTATCAGTATGTAACACCTCATTGTCAAAGTGAATGCCTGTTTCTGCTTTATCCACCCAGTAATTAATGCGTACCAATTTTACATTCTGCATCCAACATGAACCTACATGAGAACCACAAAGGTGTAAACCACATTATGACAGCTTGTGCCGAAATATTACCATATAACAGGACTTTAATAGAGTTTTCAGCATTCCTCAATATCCAGTCAATTTTAGCTACACTCATAGATGAGCTAAATAAGGAGATACATGTAACCATATTCTCTATATGATATTTCATACTGTGCAACCAATGGATTTAGTTAAGGATTTAAAAAATAAATAAATAAATAATAACCTTGATTTCATTTACAGGATATTTTAAAAGTTTGAAAGTCTAACCTATTTTCATAATTCTTAAATGATTTAACTGCTAATTAGAGGACATATTATTACATGTATTTCTGTTTTTCTTAACAGAAGAAGGATTTTACACTGAAAACACCTTCTAATGTAGATTGGAGAACCAATGAATATATTTAAAAGAAGAAGAAGTAGAAGAAGAAGAAAAAGAAAAAGAATTGAAGCATTTTTATAGCCAAATTAGAAGATAATGGATTCTATTATGCGTTTATGCTTTATTCACATAAAGGAAAAATATTTATTCATTTTGGAGAATTTTTTATGTTATATATATAATAATGGGAATAGAGATTTTCAACTTATGCTCCTCCATAGTTTGCATTCCTAAGAATTCAAACCTAAGCTAACCTTGATTGCATTTACAGGATATTTTAAAAGTTTGAAAGTCTAACCTATTTTCTTAATGTTCTTAAATGATTTAACTGCTAATTAGAGGACATATTCATACATGTATTTCTGTTTTTTTTTTTAACAGAAAAAGGATTTTACATTGAAAACACCCTCTATTGTAGATTGGAGAACCAATGAATATATTTATAAAAAAAAAAAAAAAAAAAAAAGAAGAAGAAGAAAAAGAATTAAAGCATTTTTATAGCCAAATTAGAAGATAATGGATTCTATTATGCGTTTATGCTTTATTTACATGAAAGAAAAATATTTATTCATTTTGGAGAATTTTTTATGTTATATATATAATAATGGGAATGGAGATTTTCAACTTATGCTCCTCCACAGTTGCATTCCTAAGAATTCAAGCCTAAGCATACATGTGAAACTTATGCAAAAGGCTTGATCTTTAGTTTCTTTTAAATTATCTGACAATAAATCAAAAGTAGTCCGGCCATCATTCTATCTTTTTTATAAAAAGTCATCCCATTAAGGAACTGGAAAAAAGTTCATAAAGGAAGGGCAAAACATCAACATGAAAGAAGAAACAAACAGAGGGAAACAAGAATAAAACTCTCTCTACATCTCTGCTAAGGCAAAACATCCACTCTCTCTACATCTCTGCTAAGGAATCATCATCAGCACGAAAAAACACCTATGTTCATGAGCATATTTGTTCTCTATTTACCAACAAACCATAAAAATCATTATAAAAAAGTTTCAAAATTCCCCACATTTTAATTCCATTTTTTTCTGCACAAAATTTGACATAAAAATTTAATTCCAGCAACAGCACTACACTACTCATATGCAACAGCATCTACTTACAAATAAGCTAAAATCCAATCTAAATTTCCTAAAAAACCAACAATAAACACAGAAAAAAAAATTGAATAGATAAAGCACAGAAACCTGCTTAGGTTCACCAGACGATGGCACCCCATTCTCCAAATTCCCAACCTCTTGCACCTCATTTGGAACCCTAAAAGCTTTGCAACAATTAATAAGTAAATTCGGGACACGTTCTCTCTCCAGAGCCGATAAATATGCAGCGCCAGCAGCATCAGCAGCCGAGCTAGGGCTCGAAACTGAGCTCCATCTCTTTTCACTGTCCGCATTTTGTTGCTGATGTGGATAATATTCAAACTCAGTAGCTTCACCATCAACAAATACACTCTCTATTCCTAAATTCTCTGCATGTAACCCAACAATTCCAATATCCGGCACCGCAATTTCCAATTCAGTGTAACTAAACCAAAAGAAAATTACGTAAGAAATTATTAGCTCATTTTTTTAAAAAAAAAAGCTAAAATAAAAACCTAAATTTGAAAATTCTATAAATTTGAACTGATCAGAAACTGAAAATGAAAGAAAAAATTACTAAAACAGAATCATTTGTAATTAAAAAAGAAAAAGGAAACGGACCCGTAGATTTGGCGCTTGTCTATGTCAACAGAGAGGCAGAGTTTCTGGTGACGGACTACGGCACCGGAGTTCTCAGGCTTGGCGTCTTCGGTTTTCGGCTTACGAGGCTTAGCCATGGCTTGTGTGTGTTAGCGCGCTGGATTTTTAAGATGGAAAGAGGTTTGCTTGATTTCATTTATAGAGGAGGAGCGCGGAGGTATGTGTGTAGTTCTCTGGTATTGGAGTCAGCGTTGCGAACAATGTGCCCTAGTTTTGATGTTTAGATCTTGATCGTACATGTCGCGGAAGGATTATCTAACGGTGGATGTTGTGTCTTCGTTGATTGAGCTAGTGGGCCAGGAGACAGGACTAGCTTAGCCCTAGATTTTCCACGTGTGTTTTTTTTTTCCGAAAATGTTTCTCCAGTCAAAAAGGAGTTATTTTCTAAAAGCAAGCCCTATTCAGTTCAAATCGATTTCAACCGAATCAAAATATTAATGTCCGTTCTATTTTTAATTCAACATTTCAAAAAAGAAAAAACAATTTTTATTCAGTTTTCTGATTTTAAAAAATTTAGTTTGGTTTAAACCAAAATTATTTTTTTCTAATTTTTTGAAGTTTTAAAATAATACAAATAAACCAAAAAAAGCAATACCTTGATAATAAAATACAATAAATGTGAACCATTAAATTCAAGTTCACATGTCAAATAATGCAATAAAATCACAAGCCCAAAATTAAATAGTCTAAAAATATAAACATAGGTTTTGAACCCATATTTATCCGTCATGCCACTTTTAAATTAATAAAATTAGGCCCAAGGCCTAACAATAAGTTCCAAGACTAAATCTGAAAAAGACAAAATCAGTAGCACTAAAAAATAAAATAAAATGAAAAACACAAAAATAATAATGATAATAAAAATAAATATATGATAATAACAATATTAATAATAAGAGTCTTATTGTTAGAACAAAATTAGTCTCGAGTCCTAAACTTATTGCATCCGCATCAACTTAAACTAACATCACATCAAATACATATGTATCTAAACCGATCTAGGCTGACATCATATCAAATAAACATACAAAAATCACAAATTATGTAAGAGCGACTCAATAGAAAGTAAAATATTCAATTGGCCTCCACGATATCATCGACCTATTAATTCATATTGGTTTATTTTAATTTTCTCACCATAAAAAAAAATGCTAACCTATTGCTAACTTCATCATTGATCAACAATTCCTCAAAGACCGTAATACAAAAATAATATTATATAGAAAGCCAATACCCTTAACCTTATTTTCTAAGGAAAAAAACAATAGATATATAATAAAAAGAAAAGTAAAATAAACTTTAAAAATATTAGATATGCCTTACCCTAATAAGATTAAATTTTAAACACACATAAATCACAAAGAATCTAAATTTAAAGACTTTGAAATCTATCAAGTAACATCAAAGACTTCAAATTCAAATATTTTCAATTAAGCTCAAACTAAATGATAAACCCGATCTAGCGCATTCCTTGGCCCAACAAGCGCTTGGGCTATCTAGGCCATTTTTTTCTTTTTTTATTATTTTCTTATATATTTTTTCTTTTTATATCTTTGATTTCTATTGTATTTTTATGGGGTAAAAATGGGGTGATGTTGTGGCTTGTCATCCGACAATATTATGTTAGCTTTTTAATCTATATTGTATTAAGGGCCATAAAAGGAAGTATAAAGGGCATATAGCTCTTAAGCTTGACATGAGTAATGTATATGACCTTTTGTAGTGGAGCTATTTAGAAAATATGATGAGAAAAATATGGCTCGTGGAGTCTTCAATTCATTTAATTATGTTATATGCTTGTATTATCAATTTTTATAGTTGTGATAAATGGGAGTGAGAATGGCTTCTTTGCTTTAACCAATAGGTAAAGTGATCTTTTTTCACATTATATATTAATTTTATTGATCTCATAAAATGTCCCTCTACTCTTGAGATTTTTTTAATACGGCCCCTTTGCTTTAGTTTTTTTAATTGCATCTCTCTACTCCTTAAATTTTCTTAATGTGGCCTTTCTAATGGTTTTCCAACTAAATTTCCATGGAAACGTGGTATATGGTAAAAAACAAATTGACATATGTGATGCCATGGTAGGTAAAATTATTAAGTAAAAAAAATTGAAAAATAAACAAAAAGTAAAAAAAAAAATAGCTAAAAAATAGAAAAATAAAAAGGAAAAAATAGGTAAAAAAAACAAATAATGTTTTTCTCTCTTCTCTAAGCACTACAAAAAAATCTAGGGTTTAACAATGGAGAAATGCATTACTAAATCTATATTTTTTGTTGTTATTTCGTTTTAGAGATTGACTTAATAATAGCATCACCAAAATACTTATCGCTAATTTTTTTTAGTGACAAAAAAAAATTATATCACTAATTTACAACTAAAGTTCTATAACTATATTGAAGTATTTTCATACTAATTAGATGTAAATAGTTGTTTTGTAGTTATGAAATCCATCACAAAGCCGTAAGTAAGTTGTTTGATTTTCGTCGCTACATGAAGATAGAAATCCATTACAAAATTTAATCATTAAAAGTAGTCGTTAAGACGTAGCTTAATGTCATCAAATTGCCAATGGATTTTATTATCCATCACTAATTAATTAATTTAATATTTATTTTTTGTTCGTTGGTCAATCATTGATCGGTTGCTAATAAAGAAAATTTAATTTTTTTATTTCATCAATAGTCCTTTGATATTTAATTATAGTAGCAAACAACTAAAAATAAAATTATAATACGAAATATTATTGAGTAAAATAAAACAAATAATTAAAACCAAATCATGTGTGTGTGTGTGTGTGTGCACACAAACACACATATACATACATATATGTATGTATGTATGTATGTATGTATGTATATTCCGGTGTACAAATACATTAAGAAGCTAAAAAAAATAGTTCTCAACATCATCATTTTTTGCATCATCTTCCAGACTCCTTGGTATTGGGAGAAAAGGCAAACTCTTGAGTAGGAGGAGGGTTACTAGGAGGGAAGGGTTGCTAAAAGTGGGTCCGCATGTCCGTAACAACTACCGCATTTAACATGTCATAACACCTCTCAACAAAATAATGTTTCGAGTTAAGGTCTAACATTCGAACAACTACGAATAACTATGAGTGATTTTTACATCCGGACTAAATCTCTCTATTTGATGCATTCTACATATCACAAAAAGCATATCCATCGGGATTTGAAATCTCGTCGATGGTAAATGGATTAAATGATGAATCGGTTACATCTATCACCATTGTTTAATATACATTAGCGGATTCATTAAAAAAAAAATTACCTTCATCATAATTTTCGACATAAAATAACTATCTAACTCAATTTTTTCATGATGTATCCACTCATAATATCCGGACATAAAAATTGTATTTTACTAAATGATATTTAATCGTGTCAATCTCTTTATATCTATAATTTTGACACTTATGGCAATTATATTAACACTTTATCTTACTTTTGTCTATACTTTCGGGATGAATAACAATAAATGTAACAAAATTCTTTAACCATATTCATGAAATCTTGATTTAAAATTCCATCGGTAAACCTAAAGTCCATGCATGCACGATCGAACCTTATTTTTTCCTTCGCATACGAGCCAATACACAATTACTTAATTACCACTTTTTAAAAAAATATATATAAAAAAATTCTATAGAGTCTCTCTTATAAATTGGATGTTTCCTAATTACTAAAGACTCAACCTATAAACAAAAAACTACACATCTAAAATACAAAATACATGCATCATATAAGCATAATATACAAAAATGGTGAAAATAATTTAAATAACGGCTCAAATCGACATGATTTCAAGCATCGTGATTTTAGTTAAAACAAGAAACAAGTATGCATGATAAACAAAAGTTGAGAAAAAAGTGGTCCGAATTAAGGCTCTAATCGACACAATTTCACGTACCACGATTATTAGTCAAAACAACAAATAGGTAAATATTTGGCATAACTTGTGAAAATGACACTTTTAATTAATCATCTTCACCCAAACATCAAGCAACAATCAATACATTAATTAACAACACAAACAAGCATAATCTAGCACATTTACTCAATCACATTCAAGCAATCAATCCACGCACATCGAAATTAACACTTGTCTTTGATAACCCATTTAAATTAAAATCTAATCCATATCCTTTCAACTCCATCGTAGAGCATTGATACTAGTTTATTTCTTCCTAATCCCTAGGGGTCTTCGACCTTTCGGACTCAATACACTATGATATATCTCAACATACTTTAACAATCATCGCTAAAATAAATTTAATTTTAATTATCATAATTAATTTAAAATTTTTCTATGCCATAAATTATAAATTGGGATTTCAATAACCGATGTGGCGAGTATAAGTGATTGAAAAGTTGTTAGAGTGATTGGAGTGATTACCGATAATGTTACGGATCGTTAATGATGAATTGACTAGCTAGAAAAAAATTTCATATGAATAATTAATATCAACAATTCATAGAACAACTAATTACTTATTTATATTAAACAAATTTAACCAAAAAATAATTTATCAATTTTAAAATCCTATGTTTAAATAATCTTATATTATATCAATTTTAAAATAGCATCTTAATTTTCAAATTTAACATCGTGCTTTCTTTCTAATAAATTAATTATCAAATGACTCTATAACAAATTACAAACCCATAATTTTATCATAATTTATTAACAACTAAATCTAATTAATTCAAAAAAATTGATAAAAAAATTACTCAATTCAATTTCGGATAACATAAATTCAAATTTTCTAAAATATCTAACAATTATATATATATATATATATATATATATAGGTAATAAATCATGTCAACGTTGGTCCACGAGGAGGATGTTGAATCGTGGGCAAACAAGGAGTCGCCACTTTGCTAATCAAAAAAAATTAGGAAACCTTAAATATACTTGGTTTGTATAGATATCCGGATAAGCAATCGGTTATATATGTAAAAGATATAAAATCATCGTCATCTCATCCTACCCCAATCGCAGGTGAACAATAAAGCTATCGGTAGCTTCATTTTGAGCGAATAAACAAAAAAAGGTAAAATAACTCATACTAAAATTAAAAATACTTAACTAGGTAATTCGTTTATAATTGCAATTATAACAACAATCATCTTAAACAACATTTAAACCATGAATATGATATTAAAATATTATAATTTCATCCATATTTTAAAGGAGTACAATCGTTGTAAGAGTTTAACCCAAAAAGTTCTATAGTTCAAGTGTCTAATTTTGGGATCGGTTATACTCTATTCATCCACAATGATAATAGATTATTCGGTTAATCGGAAAATGAGAGCATCTATTTGTTGCCATAACATTGTATGAGCCCTCTTAAAATGATTGAAAGTCCCTCCAAAGTCGGTACAAATAGTTAAGGTTACTACTACTACTAAAGTTATTGTAAATTTTACAATAACTTTGTGAATTTCCAAAGTTGCTATAACTTGAGAAGGCTTGACAACAAAGTTGTTATGTTTTTCCTTTTAAAAACAACATAAATATAATCTATAATATCATGTTGTTTCTTCCAAACATAATCAATCTAAATAATAATTTTTTTATGGAAATGGCTTATTGAAGGTTACTTGGTATGAAGAGAGACTACTCGTTAGCTCACTTGTGGTTGCTTGGCACACTAGTGGCAGCCTAACATGCAATGGATGTGAGGGGTGGCCTAGCCGTAAGTGCTGACTTGGCCATCAACTCGCGGGGTGGCTACTCGTAAGAGAGGTTTATGAGGTGCTAGCTTATCGGTCGGTCGCCTTATTGGCCTATAGCTTATGAGCGTGGCCTATGGATCGTGCTAGCACGAGGGATTGTAACGATAGAGATGGATGCTAAACTAGCCCAAGCTAGAAAAAGTTATGACACTAGGGTTGTGGGCGACGTTGTTAGCAAGAAGTTGTAGGGGCTATGTTAAGGGTCATGTATCGATCGAGCTGCGTGGTCCGTTGGGAGGATTATATTGGCGAGGCTACGGGGTATATTTGGGCGAGAGACTACGGACGTGCTTAGGTGGGATGGTCGGGGGTTGTGTTGGCGAGGGTTGTGTTGTGAGCAAGATGGCCGGGTTTAGGACATTGATGGCTTAGGCGAGGGGTTGTGTTGACCGAGTGCTGTTGTAAGGTAAGGAGGAGGCTCGCTCGAGTTTAGTTAGTTATGGCAATGAGGAGCTTTTGGGTGAGGTTTTGGTGTGGGATGAGGGGTTTTTATTGCGGTCGGCTAGGTGCAAAAATGAAGGGGGGTGATCTATAGTGTAATGTATAACAAAATACAAATTGAGGATTTTTATATGTATTTTTTTATTTTTTGGAAAAAGTCCAATTTGGTCTCTAATTCTCTATAATCCATCAATTTAAATTTGATTTTGGTTGTTTGCTTTGATGGGACACCTAAATCTCAATTAGTTATGGCTTTTTTAATTTCTTTCAATTATACCCTTTCTTTATTTTTAATTAAAGGACAAAGGTTTTGAATTTTTTAATTATACCCTTAATTTTTTTTATCTCCAATCTTTCTCTTCTTTTTTTTTTTAATTATTTCCCTTCTATAACTAATCTAAGCTAATTGTTTCAATCGTTTTTTTTTATATCTTTTTTTTCTTTTTATACTTAGTCTTTTTTTGTCTTGTTTATTATTGATTTTCTTTTTGTATTTTTTCAATAAAAATAAAAGAAAAAATAATGAGAGAAAAAATTAGGTGTCAACAAATCAAACACGTAAAAATTACAATATCAAGAGTGATACAACTAACCCATAAAAATCAAATGTAAAATATAAAGTAAGAAAAAGATTCTCTTTTTATAGAGAGAATGAAGGGTTGTTGATGGTAGATGAGACTCGTTTGAGGAAAGAGACAACGACTATTTTATGAGAAGAGATAGTTGGAGTGGTTAAAGACGGAGAATGATTTTTGAGGTGGTTTGGGGGTGTCATAGTCAATGACATTGTTTGGAGGGGGCAGAGGTGAGGTTGGGTGGAAGAGGGAAAAAAATGATGGAATAAAGAGATTCTTCCAATTTAAGGATTGAAATTTAGGACGCCGCTCTATTGCTTATTTGGGATGAAAATAAGTGTTTGTCGCTATTTTAAAATTCAAAAATAGCATCATTTTATCAACTACCAACGACGAACAATTCTATCATTGATATTGGATTTTTTAGCAACTAACAAGTTCCATCGTTGATTGACAAGAAATTAAAAGGTTTAGCAACATAATAATTCATCTATAATAAGAGAAAAAAAGCTCCAACATTGGTGACATAAATCATAATTCATTGCTGAATGCTATTGTAATTTATTTGATAATTCATCGCTAAATAGCCATAAAAAAACTATCGCGTTATTTAATGACAAAATATTTTGTCATTGATGTTTTACCTCCGATTAGTTGGTATTCCACATTATCAACCTTAAATTGATAACAATCATTTCTCGTTTGTAAATCTGTTGTTTTATAATGACAACTTGTTATTTATCATTGATTTTCTTTGTTATTTAATAGTTTGTTTTTTTATAGCGAAGGTCGATCAAATACATAATGTTTCTTTTCTCTTTGCAATTTCCTCTTATTGATTTTCTCTTTTTTCCATCGATTCAAATCATTATAACACTAATTCTTCTTCTTCTAATCTTTTCCAAATCCAAACCCTCAATTATTCTTCTCATCCCACCACTCGCCTAAAACCTTCAATTCAAAACTCTTAATTTTTTTTTCAATTTTAACAATTTGTTTGTATTATTTCAAGTTCATGCAATTATAAATTCATAAAAACAATTGGGAAGTTAGGATAAAGATCCATAATAAAAAAAACTTAAAAAAATACGGAGCTTATACATCAATCTTAATCAGTAAAGGTGTGGTAGTATGAATATAGTTTTGAGATGGAAAAAGAGTTGCAAGACTCGTTATAAATTTTAGCTTTTGTTGGGTGAATGATTGTAAGTGCTAAAGATAATCGATATGTGATGATTTGTATACCTTAGAAAGAATCATCTTTCTTATATTTTTTTCCTCTCGTTTGTTTTAAAAAATTGAAGGAATTAATTAATGAATCTAAAGAGATTTCAATGTTTATGTTTGTGTGTTTGGTTTATTTCTATTATATTCATCGACGGGGCTCGCGAAGTAGCACAAAAAATGGAGTCACCACCTAGTTAATCGAGGAGAACTAGGAAACCCTAAGCAAACTAATCCGCATAGATATCTAAATAAGGGATTGGTTATGTTTGAGAAAGATATAACACCACCTTCCGATCCTACTCGAGGTAGGGTGTATTGAATACAATGAAAATAAAAATCTAGTTTTGTTATGCTATGTTTTTATGCCTATTTGAGTGAATTTATTTTATTATGATTGAATGGTAGAATAATTTGTGGTTTAGGTTATCGAAGGTCAATACCAATACTCAAAGGGAAAAGGAAAGAAAGATTAGAATTTTAGCTAATTTTTAGTAAACCCAAGCCTATATTGACAAATATATGAATTTTTAAAGATCAAAAGCCTCTATTGACATGAACAAGAAGTCACCGACAACTTCGCTCACACAAGTGGATAGCCACTATTGACTTTAGACCATGAGTTTAGGAAGTTATCGATAACTTCATCACATAAGTGAAAAGCCACCGATAACTCTATTTTGCTCAAACAATATACGGATGACTAGTTTGAAGCCACTAGCAACTTCATCACATAAGTGAAAAACTATTAATAAAATCATTTTAAATAAATAAAAATCAAGTAAATTTACTTAAAAGCCATTGGTGACTTCGTCTATATAAATGGGAAGCCATTGGTGGCTTCGTCCACACGAATGGAAAGCCACCAACAGTTTTATTTTCAAATAAATAGAAAAATGGGTAAAATGACTTCAAAATCACTAGCAACTTTGTCACATAAACGGGAAGGCTGCCGACAACTTCATTTTAAATGAACAAAAAGTAAGTAAATTGATTTGAAAGCCACCAACGACTTCATCCATACGAGTTTGAAGCCTCCGATAACTTCATTTTCAAACGAGCAAAAAATAAGTAAAATGCCTTCACCATTAGCGGTTTCATCACGAAGTGAAGGGCTACCAAGTAGCTTCATTTCAAATGAAAAGAAAGTTAGTAAATTGATTTGACGACCACCGGTGGCTTCATCCATAAAGGTGAGAAGTCACCGACGGCTTCATTTTTAGTGAGCAAAAAAAAAAAAGAGTTAAATGACTTTAAAACCACTAACGACTTCATTACATAAACAAGACATCATTTACGACTTCATTTCAAATGAACCAAAAGCAAGTAAATTAACTTGAAATCCCTAACAACGTCGTCTATATAGGTGAAAGCCACCAACAGTTTTAATCCAAACGAGTAGAAAGTCAAGCAATTATCTCAAATATAATTAGATAAAGCATTTGATAATTTAATAATCCATAATTATATATTTTTATCATTTTTATTTGTTATTTAAAACAAATATTTATAGGCTCAAAAGTTACCCAAATGTCATGATAGTGTTAACGATTCTTTACGGATCTGTTTCACTTCTTTCAATCTTGATAAAGATTGATTATTTTAGTCAATCGAGAAGTAAGAAGCAACTATTCTTGAGCCCTTTTTTAGTTTTGTTTTATCCGACTTAAAGTTCCATAAGAGGAATTCATCATGTTTTCTCTTGTTTAATGTTCTTGTTCCAACCAATAAACAATAATAATACACAAATCGTAGTACGTAACATCATGCTATTTTTACTAAATTCAACAATCAATAAATAATTTTTATAATTTGTTACTGTCCAAAAATCAATTTAAGTTTTTGTTACTCGTCCACACCAAAACAACACATATTTTGTATTTTTCTTTTAGTTATGATTATGTCCGAAGCTTAGGGTTGGCATACTAGGTGTTTTCTTGATCGAACCGGTGGAGGAAAAGGCATCGGTTGTGGAAAAGCTATTGGGTAAAAGAGGTTTGCCTCTATGAAATCTATTATAAACTTCTTCATGATCAATTATGGATAGTTGATAAAAGGTCATCTCAATCATTTAGAGACTAGATTCTTGATATGTCGTTGGCGAACTACGAACATTTAGGGATAGTACTAAAGAGGATGCAAAAAATAGTGGTCGCCTATTCGGTTAGAGGAACAAACACCACTTAAATATAAAGACAAGTAATACAAGTAGTAATCTCAATGAATACGTAAACATAAGGCATAATTAGAAATGTAAATAGACTAGCTCAATGAAAACAGTTAGTTTAAAACTTTGAACCCATTCAAATTAGATGTTGAACAAATGAAGAGAAAAAAGGAAAATTAATGTCTTGGCAATTACGATCTATATTTCTCTAAAAACTCCATGTCAAACTAAGTTAAAGTAGTTCATCACATCTTGTCAAGAAGCATAACTTATCATGTCATTCAAAATTCATATTGTTTATCAAATAAGTTTATGTTAGAGTGTTTATTCATATCTTATAAAAAAAATGATATGTCACATCATTCAAAATCGATATGACCTATCACATTAGTCTAAGTTAAAACGATCCATCATATATTCTAAAAAACGTCGTCAATCACCTAATTCTAAATCAATGTGGTAAGTAACAACCTTTTAAGTCAACGTGGTTTATCACCTCTTATCACGTCCTTTTAAACTAACATGGTTTGTCACATCCTTCTAAGTCGGAGTGATCCGTCACTTTCCGTTAAAAAAACATGGTCTATCACATCTTCTAAAACCAATGTGGTCTATCATGTCCTCTAAAACTAATCCGATTTGTCATGTTCTCGTCAAAAAACATGATTTTTCACGTCCTTTCTAAACCAATATGGTTTGTGACGTTTTTAAAAATCAATATAGTTTATCACATCTTTTTAAGTCGAATGATTAGTTATATTTTATCAAAAAACATGGTATGTCTTATTATTCAAAATTGACATGATCTATTATGTAGTCTAATTCGGAGCGGTCAGTTATATCTTATCAAAAAGTATGATCTATCACATCATTCAAAATCGACATGGTTTATCAAGTCGAGTCTAAGTCAAAGTGGTCTATCACTCTTGTTAAAAAGCATAGTCCGTCACGTCATTCAAAATCAATGTGATCAATCATATCAATCTAGATCGAATGGTTAGTCATATCTTATCAAAAAGCATGGTCTATAACGTTATTCAAAATCGACGTAGTCTATCACGTCGATTTAAGTCGGAATAGTTTGTTATAGTTTGTCAAAAAGAATGGTCTATCATATCTTGCGAAACCAATATGGTCTATCAAATCATTCTAAGTCGAATGTTCTATCACATCCTATCGAACCACTATGGTTTGTCATATTCTTCTAAACCAATATGGTTTGTCATATCTTTCTAGGTTAGAGTAGTCTATCACATCTTGTCAAACTAAAATGGCTCGCCACGTCCTTTTAAGTTAGGTTGTGTTTGTTTGAGTAAAAATAAGTTTCAAGGAATTTGTTTTTCTCATTTTTTTCTTATTTTTAATATTTATTTCGTATTTAGGAAACAAATTAATGGAATTTGATTTCTAGTCAATGAAAATTAATAGAATACTTTTGAAAAAGTAACTTCTAAGTCGAAAAAGAAAAAAATTTGTTTTTCTCTCTCTTGAGTTGTCTAGTTCTCTCGTTACTCACCTCTCTCTCAATATATTAAAATAATTTTTTTCTTTATCTCCTTTTTTATTTAAAATGTATCAAATTAATTTTAAATTATTTCTAATCAATTATTATTAATTATTTAATTATTTTTCTCTATTTTTACTTACATTTGATTTTTTAAATTATAAATACATTAAATATTCTTAAAAATCATTTTTACACCTTAAATTTTTTTTATAATAAATATTTTAATAATTTATCTCTATTTTTTTTACCATTATCCCAAACATCACCTAAACTATACTTAAATTATTAAAAATGATTATTACAAGACCATAATTATTAGTATAAATTTTGAAACTAACTAATTCACTAATAAATAAATTATTTTTTTAATATTATTTACTTGCAATTAAATCAATAATTTGTGATCAATTTTAATTAGTTGTAAAATTTTATGGGTAATTATAGTCAATAATTAGTTAAAGATTATTCCAACATTCATCTTTTAAAACCAAATGAATAATTATCTACAAAATGATAACTAATAATTTATAAAACTATTTTTTAGAATAAATTATCAATTCAATGTTCAAAAAACAAAAAATCTTAATTGAGCTATCAAAATAACAATGCTATGATTACTTAGAATTTTTTTTACTAAATGTGAATATTGATTTGATTTTATCCCAATTAGTTTTGGTGAAATGGTTTAATATTATTTTTTGAATCTAAATCTTAGAGTGAGTATTTATAAAAATTTGTTAAAATTTTCTAAATGCATCTTATTGATTTTAAAAATATATTTTTAAAATCTTTAAAAAAAAAAGATTTAGTTTCAATTGTTTGATTTAAAAATATTTCTTACATCCAAATAAAAAAAATTATGGTCTAAATGATATTTCAACACTATGGATCTCTGTCTCGATATATTCTTGATTATAACTAATGTTTTCTGTTTTGATACACCAATATATCAATAACTCATATACTCTATTTTGGTAGCTTTTTATATATGTACTATTATAGATATAGAATCTTTTAACAATTTTTATATTGTGAGATTATGAATATACCTTGTTAGAGTTTCCTCGAGACTCGTTGATGTAACAATCATAACTTCGTTTTTGTATTTTAGTTTTTTTGCATTTCAATTTTTTTGCTTCAAATAAATGTTGAAAAATATTTTTTAGTAGTTTTTTCATGTAATTATCAAATATTAAAAAATATTTTTTCGAAAAAAAACTTCATAGAAAATAGCTTCTCAAGAATTGCTTTTCCTATTTAAAGTTATTTTTTGTCAAACAAACGGAGCCTTAGAGTGATCTATCATATTTTTCCAAATTAGTGTGGTCTATAACATCCTTCTAAGTTAGAGTGATCTCGTCACATCTTGCCAAACTAATAGGGTCTATTACATCTTTATAAGCCGGAGTAGTTTATCATGCCTTACCAAACCAATATAGTATGTCGCATCTTTCGAAGTTAGAGTTATCTATCACATTCTTTAAGGTCGAATGGTATGTTATGTCTTATAAAATCAAAATGGTCTATCACATCGTATAAGGTTGAGTAGTTTGTCATGTCTTGCAAAATCATAGTGGTCTATCACGTCATGAAAGTTAAAGTGATCTATCACGTTTTGTAAAACCAAAGTGGTTTGTCATATCTTGTAAGGTTATAGTGGTTTATCACATCTTGCAATATTAGAGTGATATATCATGTTTTTCAAAATTAGAGTAGTTTGTCATGTTTTGCAAAATCGAATGGTTTGTCACATCTCATAAAGTCATAACGGTCCGTCATGTTTTGTAAAATCGAATGGTCTATCATATCTTAGAAAATCAAAGTGGTTTGTTCTGTCTTGTAGAATTAGAGTTGTTTATCATTTCTTGTAGAGTCGAGTAGTCCGTCACATCTTATTATATCGAGTGGTCTACCATGTCCTTCCGAGTCGAATGGTTAGTCATGCATTGCCAAATCAACGTGGTCCGTCGTGTCCTAATATTATTCTAAGTCAAAGTGATCTATCTTATCTTGTTAAGAAAAAATCATCTATCACGTCCTTCTAAGTAATATTATCTATCACGTAACTTTAAACCACGTCGGCATGTATCCACTTTATGCATTTCAATATGCATTCCATTTCAAGCCATGTTAGTATGCATCCAATTTAAGTCATATCAATATACATCTAATTTAAGCCACCCAAACATGTATCCATTTTAAGTTGTGTCAACATGCATCCTACTTTGAGCCAATTTAAGCCATGTCGGTATGAATGTAATTAAGCCATGTCGGCATCCATCCAATCGAAGCCATATTAGTGTATATCCAATTTAAGTCATATCGGCATGCACCCATTTCAAACCTTATCGGTATGTATCCAATTTAAGCTACGTCAACATGAATCCATTTTAAGCCATGTCGACATGCATCAAATTTAATCCATATCGGTATGCATCCTCTTTAAGTTGTAACATTATGGATCTTTTTTTATCTCGTCATGTGTTTTTACTTCAAGTTCTTTGATCGAATAGTCAACTATCATTTGAATTTAAAGATTGTCACTTTTGATTGATTATTGCTTGTGTTTTATGTGTTTCATTTTCTTTTCTTTTTTTAAAAAGATTTCTATATAAAGTCAAAGAAAAGTACTTTTTAATGATTTTGCAATAAAAACATTGCAAAAATGAGAAAATTGTTAGCGCCTAATTCTTACATCAAGTAATTTAATTGATTTATGATTTTAAAAAATAATAATACAAAAAAGAGGGTTATTTAGAAAAAAATGATTTTTACGTATAATTAAAGAAAATTAAAAGAAGAGATACTGATTGATTTCGATTAAGGGGTGTAATTAGGATGCGAGCAAATAAAATTATTCAAAAATAAAAAATTAAAAGAAACTAAGGACCAACAATAATGTTTGCCTAAAATCCTATTTTTTTTCCTATAAATACCCAACCGTTTAAACCATTTAAGTTGGACATAGATCCTAAAAAAAGCAAAAAACCTAAAAAAAAAAAAACTAACTAAACAACCTCGAAGGAGAAACCATTAAACCCCGATACCCATAGGTTGACCCACTAGACTTGCCAAATTTCTACTTCCAAATCGAACATCCTTCGATTACTATTACCTCTAATCACCACAACCGCCAATTGATATCTTATACCTAGATCCACCATTTTCGACTAATTAGAGAAATAAGAGATGCGGGATCTAGCTCAAATTGAGGAGAGAAGATTAACGACTCGACCTATTTAATAACTTGATTAAATCTCCTAATTTTAGCCAAATCACCAATTACCACTACCACGGAACCTGGATGGTCTCTTCCCGGGA